AAGTCCTCTCCCTCCACTTCTTGCTAAAAAATGACAGATTTTTTTTTTTTTTCCCCCTAAGGAGGATCACTCTGATTTGAAAACTGCCATTGTCTCTGAAATTTGCTTCTTTAAAGTCGAACTGTGTTTTAAGAACAAGCGCGTGTGCTGGCAGTAGTTTTCTGGGTTAACTTCTTATTTTCACTTAGAAAATTTCTTTTCAGCTGGAACAATGTTTTAAATTATAGCCATTTAAAAAAAAAAAAAAAACCTGCTCCTAGCAAGCAAAAATATTGTGGAAAACCTGTAATTTACACAAGTACCTACATTTTATTTGCTCTGTACTGCTGAAATTCAGAATCCCTTCCCATTTACAGTTTACGTTTCACAGAAAATTATTAACTTTTTGGCTTCGCACATGATCTCCTGTCAGATGCTTTTGATTTGTAATTTAGCAAAGTATAATAAACAGTGCAAAAGTCATGAATTTTCCTCCGCATCCTGAGCTCTGTGGTAGGGAAAATGTGATAAAATGTGTACCTTAAGTCTTGTTTGATGATCTCTCAAAGCAAGTTTCCCTTCTGGAAATAATTTCTGGGGTTGAAGAGCATGGTATTAACAGATTTAATGTGGCTATTCAATGGATTGGTGGAGTACTATGTGAGGTTTAACAAAATGAGAGAGACAAATTGAACATCAACAAAACCTACATCTGCGAAGAATTATAAATTTAATTAGAAAAAAGGCAAACTTAAAAGACCTCATTAACTAATCAGAATTTGATGTTACTGATTTAAGATTCTTAAGTGGATGAATTTTAAGTAGCTTTGCTATCATTGTTCTTTTTTTCTTGCATGTACTATGTAGTGCCCAGATCTGCAATCCGTATTAAGGAGCAAGATGTGAGTGTTACTGACAATAATGAAATTATACACAGTAATATTTTGGAGGTATTATTTAGCATATAAGGTGGTTTAGTTTAAGCAGAGTGCAGAGTGGGCAGGGTGAGTGACAGCTCCTTTCTTCTCTTTTTGATTTTTTTTTTTTTTAATGTGTCCCTTTGGCGGGCTGGATAAGGCTGTTGCTTTTTTTTTTATTTCCCCTTTTTGTTTGATATGTGAGTTATGTTGCAGAACTTCAATTATCCAGAAGTCTGTTGGCAAAATGGGAGAATGTATGAGAGCAAGCACACACCACCCAGAAATGTTTTTATTCTATGAACTGGTCGTCGTAAGTGTGGTTCCTTACTACGTTGTAATTTTGTACTACACATAAAAAACTGAAAGCATGTGAAGTGTAGCATTTTGTAAACTGTAACTAATTTCACTCACATCTGTGTCTAATTGTTGTCTGCATTCGCATTCTTGAGAGTAGATTTATTTTTCCTGGACCACTCTGTGGATTCAGCTGACCAGCCTAAGTGAGGATTAGTTGTTTTAAAGTTATTTTGATTAAAGAGTCATTTTTAAATATGGTAACGTGCAACATATGGTTTAAATAATCCTTGAGACACAAAGGAATATATCTAAAGTATGTCTAATGAAAATTAAGATTGTGGATATGAACTTTAACAAATCATAAAGTGTTAGAGGACATATAAGGTATATATTTAATTCACGCTGAATGAGCTGTATTTTTTTTTGCCTTCTCCCATGAATCCGTAAGTGAAATCTCCCTCACTATACACATGTGTGCATGTGTGTGTATATATATTTGTATGTGTTATTATTTTTTTAATTGGGATAAAATAAAAAGTGAGGATTAAATGTAGTTTAGAGTTTAGTGAAGTATGAATAATACTGTAGGGCACTTTGGAAAATATCAGTTAATTAAAGCATCTGTTTGGAAAAGGAAGCTTTTTCTATTCTAAAGCGTATGTTTTAAAGGATCCTGTGCAAGAGGGAGTGAAGATAGCTCTGTAAGCAAACTTAGTTCTCACCTATAATTTTTTCCAGGTGTTTAGAAGTAACAGCAGAAACATATCCTAAGGCACTCTGCTGCAGTTGCTGGGGTAAAGGACTGGAAAAAAAAAATCTTTAAAACAAAATGCAGCGTTTTGAATCTATCTTGCTTGTGTAGTTTGATTTGGCACACGACGATGTATTGAAAAGCACGTTATGCACTACTTTTAAGTACTCAGTTGTAAAAAGATTGATGTTTTTCAGCGTGCATTAGTGCATGCTCCTTGACATCATTTGTAATCTTCTGCATTGCCTGGCTGCCCCTAGCAGTTGTTTACTCTTGCTAGTAGTAATTCTGTCTGTGATTAAAAATAACAAAAAAAACCCCCAAAACCCTACAGACACATAAGTAGGATTTGCTTGGATGATTTTTATGGCACTTAAAATGCCTCATCTCTCTTGTCTTTGCTCTGTGATCGTTTAAGAGATGTCAGTTCAGGTTGAATGGAAACGCACATGAAGGATTCTCAGTGCAGACGTTAAGAGGATATATACCTTGCCCGGAGAAACTTTTGTGTGCTTTTAAGGTAACAGTGTCTAGCAGCATATCTTCACCTGAATTTTATCACCTGCTGACAATCGTTACCGCTATAGGGAAGAATCTGTTAGCAAAGCAATGGTGTTTTTCTAATAGGATATGAAAATCTGTTACTCACCTGAGTTATGAAAGGAGTCATTTTATTAAACTGGAAAATTATTGCTGGGCTTCCCAGTGGAATCAGATTCCTTTTCTTGATGAGTGATCTTAAAGGAAAATGCTACAGCTTCCTCCTATTTATTTAGCCAGAAGTGTTCTTTTAAGTCATTTTATCAGAAATCTCATTAGCGGCTGGAGTTTTTACGAGTAAGACTTTGTGCAGTAACGTGTGTGTGGGGGGTTATTCTAATTCACCCCGGTCAGAGATTGTTTTGGGGATGGTTGTGTAATACTGTTGGTCTTTACCAACAGTAAAGATCTTTATGGTAAAGATCTGAAAGTCTTTACCATAGGTAGGTAGATTGGAAGATCTTTACTGTAGGTAGACCTGCCTCTTGTTGTGTGGCCCCACCCAAAAATAGTGTCAGCCTTTGGGGTGAGCTGGCTTGTGGGTTCGCTGTTGCCCAGGTGCAGAGGAAGGATGGCGAAGAGCGGAGGAAGAGGAAAGCCAACACGACGAGGGCAAGAAGCTGCCAAGAGTTAAGGGGATAGGAGGCGGAGAGAGCTCCGCTGATGATCACCAGAGGGCTGGAGGATGCTGGGGGGCTTGGGCCAGCGCGGCTCCTGCTGCCCTCGGCGAGGCGGCGTGGGGCGGCAGGGTTACCTTCGCGGGGGTGTGCGGGGGAGCCATGCCGTGGGAGGAGTGAGCCCCTCTGCAGCTGTCATGGGCCCCTGATGAATCACTAGCCCGTCACTTGGCCGCTGGCCCCTGGCGCGGGGAGGAGGGAGAGAGACCTGCCGGGGAAACAACAGTTGAGCCTTCAATTTAAAGACAATATGCCTTTCATGGGCACCGCGCCCTCCTCCTCTCCTTTTGGGTTTAAAGGACAGAATTGTCATCAGCGGTGATATCCTTTCTTTAAGTTAAGGCCTCATAGTAAAGCGGAGTAATAGAGGCTTCTGTTTTTCCCTGGTTTACAGGTGCAGAAGTCCCAAACCAGTTCAGATGTTGCTGTTTCCTCAAGCTGCAGGTAAGGATTGGGTTGAAAATTGCTATTTTTCTGCAAGCCTTTTTTTTTTTTTTAATGTCATGTAATAAGTAAATATTTATTCTTGTTTTCTGCATTAAGCAGAAGTGCTGGAGCGTCGCCTTTACATGCATGTAACAACGTCTGTAAACCACAAGCACGAGCACTTTTTCACCAAATTGTTTGACTTTATATTAGAAGTTGGCTTTTTAAACTCATCATGATGTTGCCCTTCTTTATGTGTAGATCGGTTTAGGTAATGAAATATGAAATGAAGGATTTGTGTTCAGAACTTGGGATAAAATCTCAGTTAAAATGTGAGAACTTCATAGCTGAAATGACACTTAGGCTTAAGGATATTTATACCATCAGTGTGGGAGGAATTTTTTGTATCAGTTTAATAGTCTTTAAAAGAGCCTAAGCATTTCTTTTAAACCGAAAAATTACTGGTTCAAATGCCTTGGAGGCACACACACAGTAACCTATGAAATTTCTACTGGGAGCGATTACTTAGACTGAATACATCAAATAACATTATCAGAAGTTTTAGGTATAAAGGAGCAAAAGGATGGGGCAGTTCAACCAAGGGATATGTCATGGTGATGATGTCTATTGGCCTTTTTTTATAAGGCTCTTAAAAACACAAATCGGAAATACTCAGCTGCTTGGGTGTTGTATAAACATTTAATTTTTGCTTTGAATCGGAATTGCTCTCTTGTTTTGACTAAGCGACAGCTGCTGAGATACAGCAGAGTGCTAAGGCATACTAACACCAGTGTGGATTCACTGTATGTTGGTCAGATCCCTTTTCATTTGGGCACGCTTTATGTAATCCACAAAGCAAACAAGTGAGCAGACATAATAATGTTTTAATGCTGCATTTGTTTCAACGGAAACAGAGGAACAATTAAGTAGTTTGCCAGGGTAAACACATACATCAGGAATATCTCATTCCCTGTCAGTGGATGATAGGTTTCCACAATTGCTTCAAGTGTTTTATTTGGTTTAGAGGCTCATTATATTGCCACTGAGTGTTAAATCCTGAAAAAGCAGAGTGTTAATTTATTAAGAGAATATATGTCTTTGTATATTGGTGATTCCGTCTTTGTACATATCTTAAAAATACCAGGTGACATGAATGTTGAAAGTACAGTACTTGGTATCTAAATTTTATTCTGTTAGAAGCTGCAGAAATAATTATGGTAGGTGGTTAGTCGTGTGTGGGGCTACAAAATGAGCTTAGCCCTAGAAAAGATCAAGTTGGGAGAAGCTGTTTTTTTTTCCTAAGTGTTTTCAGGATGTTGATTAAGAGTGGGCAGCATCTCATGTGGGTAATTCCTCTGTAATCCATGTTAGATATGTCACTAAAACTAGTTGCATCTTGTTTTCAGGTCTATGGAAATGCAGGATCTAGCCAGCCCACACAGCCAACTCAGTGGTAGTAGTGAATCCCCCAGTGGTCCAAAACTTGATAACTCCCATATAAATAATAATTCCATGACACCCAATGGCACAGAAGGTGAGCCACCGTTTTTTTAGTGTTTCCTAGTTTGTTTTTTCTCCTTGTTGCATTGGTGTTCTTGCCATCAGTAAGCTACGTAGAGGAAACGTTTTTAAGGTGTTCCGTGTTTATGTAATATGGTGTGGAAAGCCGATGTTCAATGTTTATCACTAGGTACTACTGTCAAGTTTCAGCAATAGCTTTCATTCCAGGTTTATGCTCCTTTCATAGACTTTGAATGGACTGAGCAGTGCAGTATGTGCAGAGCTTAAAAAAAAAATTCCAAAAAACCTGAAAGGGTAGTGTAACGATGAGAAAAAAAGGTGTTTACAATCGTCGTCCTACAAAATGCCATCTTTCAGTCTTTTTCACTATTTCAGTATTTCTTTATGTTCTCACTTTTTGCAAGCTCCTAAGGCTATGGAAGTTTTGTCAAGTAGGCTAATAAAACTAAGTGTTGAAATTTCCTCGGGCTAGCTTGCTGCTCTGATGGAGTGGCCAAAATTCAAAGAGGTGTAGTAATTCAGTGGGGTAAAGTGATACCGATTTTTCAAGAAGCAGTCAGGCAGTTGATAAGTTATGTTTGTTCTCAGTAGAATACTAACAGCAGACTAACCTAACTAACAGCTTTGACGGTAATATAATACATACATAATACATATAATAATACATCTAATGAAACACAGAAGGATTTATATAATAACCAGCAAAAAATACTCTTTCCTGTAACATTTCTATGGCAATGGTAGGAAAGATCATACATGACATTTGGCTAGCTATGTGAACAGATTTTAATGCATTACTAGAAAAGAGGGTCATGCAGCTTCAATATTGCTGTTCGATATAAATGTATAGTTAAACAACTGTAGTAGCAAAAATACGCCTTTTTTTCTTAAGAACTGGGTCATGTTAGTGATGTCAGACTGTTCAGGATTATGGACATACATTGCATTCTTCCAGGAAAGGCACATGTCAATCAAACAGATGTCGTCCCCCCTCAATTCCCCAGACATCTCTGTTATTCGTTCTAATTGGAGTCCTCTGTAGTGGGGAGGGTTTATGGGTTATCAGATTAACAGGCATTTGTGCCAGAGTTGTGTGTAATGTACTTTTTGCTATTGCTGCAGAAGTATTGCTGCAATTAATTTTTAAGCCATTTGAAAAAAAAAAAAGTAGCTTTTTAAAGTGTGAATACAGTGCTTAATTAATATGTTAATATAGTTTAAGCAGAAAAATCTTTCATATCCACAGATGAGTCTTCTTCCTTTAAAATACCCAAGTAAATTATTATATTTCCATATTGTATTATCAGGTATATACCAGTTTTGCTACAGGATAAAATTGTTCAACCCTTTCAGATGAAAATTCCTGTAGCTCATGAAAGCCTTTGCTGTAAACTTCACCAGCTTTTGTACCTTCTGTGTAACTTGAAGGTCCTTTAGCAGCACAAAAATAGAGAGTGTTCCTTGAAACACTGAAAGACAGTCACCATCTGGCTCGACTTTTTGTTCTTGTGTGCAGGCATACGCTCTGAGAAATGGGGTGCTTAATGTTACTCTGCCAGGAAATGAGCTGTATCTTGTGTCTATTCATGCACTGACCTCAGGTAGCAAATAATTTTGGAAATAATATCCAAACTTCTAGGTAGGTATCATAGTTTATTGAGGAAAGTAAATTAAACCACGATAAATTACTTATCCGACACTAGAATTTTAAAGTTCAGGCTAACTAATTTTGGGTGAGTTCTACCCAGAAAGCGCTAACTTGCAATACGTGTTTGCCTTCTGAGATGAAGCCAAACGGTTTTCTTTTGTTTGCAATTTTCCCTCAGGTGACATGACCCTGCTCAGCACTGCGGACTGGTTGCTAAGCCCTAGCAGACAGAGCCCCACAGGTTTGGGTGGCTGTGGTGGGCGCAGCAGGCGTGGGCACTCCGCATGCATTTTCAGATATGGTCCAGAAAGCATCCTGAGAAATAGCTTGTGCTTAGCAATTCTGGTCTAAACTTTCTAAATCGAAAATTCCTGTCTCTGGTTGTTCTTGAGTGACAAAGACGGAAAGGTTTTTGAAAGAAACGTAATCAAATACTTTATTTGTGAATTAGATGTGTGCCAAGAGACAAAATTTGTGAGCGAGTCAGATGCCCAAGAATCTGAATGTGGAAATTTTGCTGTTAGTCTGTTTTATCTTGAGGTAATGTTTGATTTGGGTTCCTTGAGCTGCTGAACAGGCGTAAGAAAAAATGGGAGTGAATGAAGCAAGGGTTTCTTATTTTTTTTTTAATGAAAGGTGGAGTGAAATTATTTTTTCTGAGATTCTTGAAGCAGAATCCTGCTGAGACACAAGTGGCAGATTGTAAGGATGCAGTCGTAAGGGCTTGCCAATTGCCTTTCTTAAAATGTTGCAGTGTGGTTTGCTTGCTTGTTGCACGTGGAGTGGAGATGTGGGTTGCTGAACCTTCACATGTTAAATATAAATGTGAAACCAGCTTCTAATTTTCTACGCACTCATTCTCACTAACATGAAAGAGCCTTCCTTTTCTGGCATAAGGGACCTTCATGTGAATGAGCAACAGACCCTCTAGGTATTTGCATGTTATAAATATCTCGTAAAGATATGTTAAATTTGATTTGACTATGGGTGTGATTTCGGCAGGTTTCCATACCCCGAAGTGCAGGATCTGTTCACTAGATGAGGGGGAGAAAAAAACAAAACAAAACAAAACAAAACAAAAACCAAAAAAAAACCCCACCAAAAAAACCTGTCCCAAAATGAAATGGCACTGTTTCAAACAAATGTTCATTAATTCCTCTAAGGCACATTTTCAGACTTGTCTCTTATTGATGTTGTTCTACAAGAGGATGTGGTTGGAAGATAGCTCATTGTAGTTAGCTAATATTTTTAGCTTCACGCTTAGTGGTAAATTTTCAAAGCACTGAATGGGGATTTAGTCGTGTGATTGAGTTTAATCTCTGCTTGCAGCTTTTATATAATAACTCTTCATGCCCTTAATTTCACTTTGGTAGGGCAAAACTACTGTAGTGCAGAACTGACCAGGTAGTGCTGGTCGAGGACTGCTGCTGAAGAAATGCAGGGAGTTTTGGGTGACTGCTATTTATTTCCTTTTATCTAAACATTTTTAAACAAGTCAGATTTACTACTTCTTGTCTCAGATAGCAATTCCTCTGCAGGATTCTTTTAGAGCATAGTGATTGCTGTAGAACAAACACTATCCTTTTAAGTTTGTAGCAGATCATGAGACGATCTTCATAGCTCTGGATGTATGTGTGGTGAGGGGAAAAGAAGCATTTCCTTAACATCTTGATTAAAAAAAAAATCATAGCTAATAAGAAGTAATTACTTTGCTGGTGTTTGGTTTCTTTCTTCCTCTTCTCCAGGCCAGGCAGCATGGTCTTCAAACCAGTGACGGGGAAGTAACAAGGAAATTATAGGCCTTGACCCGTCAGCAATTTCCCAGGATCAAATGCAGAGGAGTAACACTAAAATGCCTGGCTAAAGGCGTTCAGATAAATCAGTCCTGGCATTCCAAGATGGTGCTGATGGTAGAAATACTACAGTATTTGAGTTTTCCATATTCTCTTTAACTGTTTTTCCACAAAATACTCTCTGTCACAGGGAACAGCAAACACTGGACACCATTAAAAATTTGGCCCTGTATGACTTGCCTAAGAAAATCTGTTAAAAAAAAAAAAAAAAAAAAAGGCAATTGAAGTGTGCATCAAAATGCTCATAGTTTTGCCTTATCTCTAATCTTCCTTTGTCAGCAAATTGCTGGGGTGGGTTGATACTGAAGGAGTTAAAGAAACAATAACAACAGAAGCTAATAAAATTGCCATTCGTTAAATTTTATCAGACAGCTAGTGGCTATTCCAACAACAGGGACCATTTTTGTAGATGTACTTTAGAGGGGAAAGGCTGTGAGTAATCAATAAATTTGAAAGAAGTAGCAAAGCTGTTTTCCATAGTAGACAACTGCATCCGGTTTCTGCCTACAGTGATCTTTACTTTTATCTAAAGAATGTAAATCAGTTCTGTTGGATGACATAGAGTGAGAAAGAAAAGCACGTGGCCCATCGTGGTAGTGTTTTATGTAACTGGGATAGAAAGGACCAGATGAAGACTGGGAGAAGGAGCCATGGTTTTCCAAGCAGCTACACTTCGTTCATGTTAGGAGTATGGAGATGCTGCTGCCCTCATTTTTGAGTGTTCAGAAGGAAGACGAGAAGGCATTTTCATATCAAGCAGGAAGGGAAAATGGATAACAAATTGAAGATCAGATTTTCAAAGATACATAGGAAGGGAGGCTTCAAAGGCAGTTGGACATCAAAATTCCTTTGGGAAAAAAAAGGTTCTTGCTCTTTAAGTACGTGCTGCAACATGAGAATGAGATCCCACACAAAGGCAGTCAAAGCTCCCCACTACGTGACTATCTGATGGGTGGCTATTAGAAAGGTTGTTTTAAGTCTGGTGAACGTAAATCTATCTTCAGGGTTTCAAAAGGCAGCGCTGTGTAGTATGTTTGCTGTTGAGTTGCGATATTGTAGAACGGAAAAAAACCTGTTCTCAGTGTTTTCTGAAGTAATGGTGGAGTAAGGTATTGGAATCCATAGAGAGGTTATGACCTGGTGGTTGTTATGGCACGTGGTGTAGATTTCTGTAAGTAAATGATATGTTGAGTATTTGTTGTAATTCTAACAATACTTTATGGCACTCAAAATAGTCTTTCAGTATTACAATCAGGCGTGCACATTGGCAGTGAATAATTTTTAATTTTTGCTGAGTAGTAGTTATTCATGATTTTGTGTACTTTGGGGTGCAAAGTTGTGGTAGGCAATGGCATTCAGACAAAATGATCCTCCTTTGGCAGATGCTTGGGTTCTGGTATCTTTTAATTGCTCATTTCTGGACTTTCTGTCAGTTATGCATGCTGAAGTTTCCAGACATATGTTTGTGATGAAGAGCTTGATGGTATGAAATTTGTAATCAATGCAGGGATA